CCGTGCAGCCAGTCGAAGATAATTACGCTGCGGGCGGTGGTTCTCGAAAGCCGGGTGCGCCCCCCCCACGTCGCCGAAGCTGCGCGGCGGCGCGACGTGCATCGCGGCGCACGTCGCGGTGCGGACGCTATGCATGTGCGCTGGCTGAGTCTGAGCGACTTTGGGCCTAAACCCTAACGGCGTGGGCGGGATGTGGGTCGCCAAATGCGCCAGAAGATTAGTCGGATTTTCGCGGTACTCTTCGCAGTCTGGTCGATCCGTGTCTCCAGCCATCGGGCGAGTTGTTTCGGAGGGCGGTACCCATTCATCGCGATGGCGAAGAACATCAGGGATGCGCCTCCCTGCCCTCCATGCTGCGCCGAATGGCCCGCGAGCATGGTCCACAATGCTGAACGCCGTCTGGCAACGGAAATATGTGTTAAGCAGCGTGATGGCAAACAAGGTCGGAGAAGCTCCGTGTCAAGGGGGCGTCGTGGCGTGCATCTGATGTTTGACCAACTCCCACTTGGTGCCGAGCCGTGCTCGGCACCCCTCGATCCCGCGCTGCAGCATGGCAGTCTCGGTTTCGTCACTCTCGGTGCCCACCGCCTCCCCCATCCTCCTGCTTCGGCAACCGTTCCAAAACAAACTCAGGTGTGGCCCCCTTTCGCGGGGCTGGATTGTCGGTCTCATCGCTCGAACAATCCCAATATCTGCAAGCCCCGGTGGCCTCGGGTTTCCCGGAGAATCGGCCATTGTGCGGGGCTGCCAAACTCATGGGACTCCTCTCCGGTCGGGTTGGTCAGGACAGCCTGCAAGTCCTGGGAAAAAACTGGAGGGCCCAGGGGTGGGTTCAGCTCACCCGTCGGCGACCCAATGACATCTGCTGCCCGCCTCTCTCTTGCAAGAGTCTCGAACCGGAACTTCCCAAGCGCAATCCCTAAGTAACGTCTGTGATGTTTAGGGCCTGCGATGGACTGCCATCGGCAGAGACGACTCACCATCAACTTGATGCCACAAAGGGGAGCTGCCATTCCTGGACAATCAGTTTGTCGGGTCGGGCGAAAGGTGGGGATAGCAAAGGGGGGGTTTGAGAATCAGCTCACGTAGCTGATTTTCCCGGCGCCTCCCGGCGCCGGATGGAGCTATGTATCGAGGAATGGGCCCCTCGGTGAGGCCGAAACCAGCTGCATGCAGCAAATTTCGTAACCCCCCCTTTCCCAATCCCCCCCTTTCGCCCGACCCGAGTTTGGTCGTGCAAGAGGCGCGCGTGCCATCGTCATCATCAACACGTGCGCGCACGCGCAAAGCAGCTCTCATCTTCTCAGCTCGCGACGCGTCGGGCTCTTTAGGCTCGTGCGGGGTCAGGACGTGAGCATCGAGACCCAGCCATGCTCCTGCTACGTTTGCGAGAAAAAGTGCCGCGCATGCTTTTTTCCAGGGCCCCGACGAGAACCAAGACTGTCGAATATTGTTCCATCCAGTTGCCCCAGATCGCATGCCTGCCCTGATCTCCCTCCAGTTGCTCCCTTGCGCGTTGATACACCCGCCCAAATGGATGAGGTTGATCGTGGGGCGCACTGGGATGTGTGCCTCAGCCTGCTTCGTGTCCTTAGCCGTGGCCAGGTGGGCGAGGGTTTCCTGTGTGTCGAAGCGATGGGCGCAACCACCTTCTTGCAAGTACCAGACCAGGGGAGGGGAACGAGGAGGAGGAAGAGGAGGAGAAAGATACAAAGAAGGACAATTGCAAACCCAAGACTCATCAACGAGGCTGGGATAAACCCCTCCAAGCTCCCTGCTCATAAGCCTCCACAGTGATTCATTTCCACGGAGGAAAATGCCAAGTTTGGAGACAATCATTTGAAGATCCTGAAGCGCTCCAAGCCACTATTCCCGAAACCTCACGCCACGAATCAACCTGATTGTTGCGCCTTGGCGATCGTGAATCTTGCCAAAACACAATTCCTGCGACTACAACGCCGCGAATCAACGTGAGTGTTGCGCCATGACAAACGTGAACCACTCCAGTACACAATGTGTTGAAACGTCGGCCATGGGAGCCCGTGGACCTGTTGCACATGTTTGAAGCGATAGCGCGCGGCGCCATAACGAGAAACACACTTTCAGAAGGAACCTCCTTCGATCCGTGAAACTCTTGCACATGTTTAAAAAGAGTGTGCGCCTCGTTCAAGCGATGACCACATGTCAAAAACGGCCCGCCGTCATACCGTGACACTCAGATGAATAGTTGCCCGTGAGCGGCGCCAAGGCGAGAACCGCAAACACTTTGCCGATTAATGCCCATGTGGAGGATATTCGTATTCGTGGGCGTATGGTTCGGATGATCATACGGATCATGCGGCACTTCGTGTTGTGCTTGTACGTTGCGCACTACTGGTTCCAGGTCTAGCTTCGGGGAAGTGGACCTCCTAGTCTAATTTGGTATCGGGTAAGCGAGTCTAATGTATTCGGTATGCTGGGCGGGGAGGCCGCGCGCACGCGAATCTTGTACTTGACAGCATGCATGAAAGCAGCAAAAACACATATAATACTTGCACGTGCAAACAGTCAAACAGGCGCCGACAACCCTCAGTTGGAGGGGACAGGGCGGCGCAGGAAAAGGGGCGAGGGGAGCGCTGCTAATTACTCACATTTTGGAAGCGGCCCGCCCTCCATCTGTGAAGTTGTTGCCAATCTCACCTTCAAAATGATACCTGGTAAGGACGTCTCAGGCGCAATGCCTGGCCCGTCCCTCCGACTGGCCACGGGCTGCGACGCGGAGAAATGGTTCACAAGGAAGCGGAATGGAAAGGGAGCAGGAGGAGGGGTAGGGGCATCGGTACCGGTATCGGTATGACTCGACTCGCTGCCGGTGTCTGTGGACCCCAAACGGGTCATTGAGAAGATTGATGGGCGAAAGGGTCCCACCCTGTAGTGGGGACACGATCGAAGAGGGAGCCAGGCCGGGGGTCCAGGCCAAGGGCAGCACGCTGTCGCTGCCACTTCCTTTCCCTGGCGGCCTCTTTCTCCTCCTGAATCAGAGCCCGAAGCTCCGAGAGAGGGGAGGAGTAGGGGGGGGGGGAGGGGAGAAGAGGAGGAGGGGCAGCACCGAAGCAGAGATGTGCCACCCACGTCTCGCCTCGCCGCCCCACCCGTGGAGGGCCGGCGGGGCCGTGGCCACGGGCGCCAGAGCACGGCGCGGGGGGCGGCGGGGGGCGCAAAGGGGTGGGGGCGGGCCCTGCTTGGTCGGCGACAAAACTGCTCCTGCAATCGAACCACACGGGTGGCCCCTGATGTCGGGGAGACGTAAGACTCGGGTACGGGGGACGCGGGTTGGCCTGACGGGGCCATCATGAAAAAGACGAGACCCAATCTGAAATTTGACGCGGGCTCCCGCAGCAAACCTCTCACGAAAACTGGACCGTCAAAATCCAAGACGCGCTCGCCCAAAAACGTAGGCAAACCGAGTTCCGGCTTACTCGAGTCTTACGCTCCCCCGACCATTGATCCTACCCCAAAAGGCTGCCAACCGCAAGTAGGGCTCAACTTGCGGGAGGCGGCTTCTATTTCCAGGAGCCCCTCTCCGGCGAAGGGTCCAGGGGGGAGGGGGGATCGCAGGCCCAGCCATCCGACGATGCGGTCTTTTCCCCGCTCGCGGCCCCCGCGGCCCCACAGGTCCAGAGCCCTCTCCCAGCACCGTCGGCGTCTGCTGATTCCGGGTCTCGATGCTTGGCCGAAGGGTGGGAGCAGGGGGCCTGGGCCGGCACTTCCTCAGTCGACCTGCTTCTGGGCGTTGGCAGAACTGGGTTTAATGGAACCTGGTTTAGTGATCTGTACCGGGGGCGCCCCCCCGCCCCATTTCCACTAACCGGAACTGCCGTCACCCGAAAAACACCAGTTACGGCAAGCCTGGTTTTGTGAATCTGGCCAATTGAGGGGCCCCAGGGCCCTACCACTAACTGGGTCCCCTTACCCGGGGTCCTCACCAGTCGCCAACGGCAGCCGCCCGAAGCAGCCGCCCAACTTCAACCAAGAGCTGGTGGTCTACGGGGGGATGGGAGGGGGGGGACGGGGCGGGGGGCCTGCGCCGATCGGCGAAACAGCAGATCGTTCCCCGTCCAGAAGCAGCTCTTGATGGTCCAGGGGCCAGATGACGGGCCCGAGGGGCTGGGGTCTAATTACTGGAAAACGCCATGGCCGAAACATCCACACCGTTGCACCTTCTTTTTGGGGGAGCAAGGCAGCCAAGGCCGAGTAAAGACGCCGGGGCTGGAAGATCATGCCGGTGGAGGTCTGGGGGGGGGGGCAGCCGGCCGGGGTCCAGTGAAGAGGCCAGAGGCAGAGACATCATGCCGTCTGGAGCTCCGGGGGGGAGGGCGGCCGAGGTCTAATATGAAGGCGCCAGGGCTGGGACATCATACCGTTGGAGATCTGGGGGGGGGTGCAGCCGCGGTCTAATGAAGGCGCCGGGGCTGAAACTCCATGCCGTTGGAACTCCAGGGGAGGAGTAGCCTCAGAAGGCTCGGAAGCCCCCTGGCTTTCTGAACAGTTCGCTGAGCCTTCCCCGAAGGCGCCGAAAACTTCCCCAACGGCGGGGGGGGCTTCTGAGAAGTCCCGCCGCCTTCTGAGAAGGCCTCCTCCTTCTCACTTACCCCTATCGCTCGCCGCCGACCTCAGAACAACAAGCTGGAGCGCCAAACATGCAATGTCTTGTGCTTCTCACTGCAAATTTTCTACGGCACCCCGCGCTTGCCCTCTCGCGCTGTCCTCTGCTGCCTCCGTGCCTCCATTCGCCCCCCGTGCGCCCCACCGCTTGCCACGACTGGCGTCTGACTGTCTTGGACCAAGGGGCGACCGCGGACTGAAACGCTTTCCTCAATGTGCCCCCTCCCGGAAGTCCCGACCCTTTCCCCGGGGCCTGTGTCTCAGCCCCGAGTGATTGTCGAACGGCCCCGGGAGGCCGACAACAGCAACGCCAGGGACCTGAGTCCCCCCCCCCGCTGGGGTCGGCCGACGCGGTCCCTGCAGATGCGCGTGATCGACTCGTGGTCGCTCTCGTCCTGCTGGGGCCACTCCGAGAGCCAGTCGCCTCGGGACGACGACGACGCCGACGGCGAGAACGACCACACCACGACGACGCGCACGGCGAAGCCGACGGGGGCTGCGGCCATCACGGCGCCGAGGACGAGCACGACGACGGCGACGAGGATGCCAACGAGTTTGACTGAGCTGCCGGCGACGACGACGGCGGCGACGACGACGAGAATGATGATCACCACGGCGGCGACTGCGACGATCACGCCGACGACGACGACGACGACCCCAAACGGATTCACAAAAAATCAAGACAGATCTTCGCTCGTACATTTCGGCCCGGAGGAGGAGGAGGCAGAGGAGGCGGAGGAGTCGGAGGCGGGGGCGGAGGAGGAGGAGGAGGAGGAGGCGGAGGAGGAGGAGGCGGAGGAGGCGGAGGAGGAGGAGGAGGAGGGGGAGGAGGCGGAGGAGGCGGAGGAGGAGGAGGCGGAGGAGGCGGTGGAGGAGGAGGAGGAGAGGAGGAGGAGGAGGAGGAGGAGGAGGAGGAGGAGGAGGAGGAGGAGGAGGAGGAGGAGGAGGGGGAGGATGAGGCGGAGGAGGCGGAGGAGGAGGGGACCCCCGACGGGCCCCGGGGCCGCCGCCAGAAACGGCCCGGGGCGAAACTCTGGCCCTGGGGGGGCACCGATCGAGCCTTCCAGGGTCTGGCCCTGGGGGGGCACCGATCGAGCCTTCCAGGGGCCCCGCGCTGGAACAGCCAGGGCACCGGACGTCTGGGGACGAGAGCAATCGCCACGGCGGCGACGACAGGCACGGCGACAACGACGACCGCGACGGCGACAGCGACGAACACGGCAATGCGGAAACCAAGCTGAAACGGCAATCCGAAGGAAGGGGGCGCGTGTTGTTGTTCTGGCCGCGCCGACTCCTCACACACCTCACTCCCCCTTGTCCTCCTCCTCTTCCCCACGATGGAAAGATAATAGTGATGATGCGGGTGACGATGATGATGATGATGCTGCTGCTGATGATGATGATGATGATGTTGATGCTGATGATGACGATGATGATGACGACGATGACGATGATGATTGTGATGATGATGATGATGATGATGATGATGCTGCTGACGACGATGACGATGATGATGATGATGAGGATGATGTTGATGATGCTGGCGCAAATGAAGTTGCTGATGCTGATGATGTTGGTGATGGTGATGGTGATGATGCTGCTGATGATGATGACGATGATGCTGAACAGAGCACCTTGTGGGTGCCTCAGGCATGTGCTGGTTTCAGAACTCCCGAGGGGTGGGCGTCAGAGGGGGTATTGCACGGGCCTGTTCGCGCCCAGATTGCGGGGATTTCTCGGCGGTGTGCCTGTTTGGCTGCCCAACATCATTCGCTTTCGGGGTAGATTTGATTAGAGGATGTCTCGGGCGAGGCGCTGGCTTCAGCACTCCCGGGGGGGGGGGGCCAGGGCGGTATGACACGGGCCCATTCGCGCCCAGATTGCGAGGATGTCTCAGGCGGTTTGCGTGCCTGTATGCCCAACATCCTCTGGTTTCGGAACAGTTCGTGAGGAAATGTTTCGCACCCTCATGTGGGGGCGCCAAGGGCGTATCGTACGGGCCCGTTCGCTCCCAGATTGCGGGGGTGCCTCCAGCGGTTTGCCTGTTGGCATGCCCGACATGGTTGCTTTCGGGGCAGATTTTGAGGATGCCTCCGGCGAGACGCTGGCGTTCGCACCCCAGGGGGCCCAGCTTAAGAGGACGTCTCGGGCGGTGTGCCTGCTTTGGTGTCGCACGTTTCGTGGCCGCAACGGGAGCTCCACCGAATAGCGCAGTGCCAACGCTCGCATGCGGCCACTGCGCCCATTCTGGCACACCCCTCACACGTTTCGTGGCCCCGTGGGGAGCTCCACCGAAGGCCCACATACCAACGCTCGCACGCGGCCACCGCATCCATTTTGGAGCACCCCTTACACGTTTCGTGGCCCCATAGAGAGTCCACGGAGGGTCCACATACCAGCGCTCGCACGCGGCCACCGCATCCATTTGGGCGCACCCCTCACACGTTTCGTGGCTCCATAGGGAGCTCCACCGAATGGCCAAATTCCAGCGCTCGCAAGCGCCCACCGCGCCCGTTTTGGCACACCCCTCGCACGCTTCGTGGCCCCATAGGGAGCTCCACCGAAGGCCCACATACCAGCGCTCGCATGCGCCCACCGCGCCCATTTTGGCACACCCCTCGCAAGCTTCGTGGCCCCATATGGGGCTCCACCGAAGGCCCACATGCCAGCGCTCGAATGCGCCCACCGCGCCCATTCTGGCACATCGCTCGCGCGCTTCGTGGCCCCATAAGGAGCATCTCTGAAGGCCCAGATGTCAGCGCTCGCATGCGGCCACCGCGCCCATTCTAGAACACCCCTCACACGCTCCGTGGCCCCACTGAGAGATCGACGAAAGGCTCAGATGCCAGCGCTCGCATGCGGCCACCGCGCCCATCTTGGCACACCCCTCACACGCTTCATGGCCCCATAGGGAGCTCCGCCGAACGCGGTGCATACAACGACGGCACCCGCGACTGCAAATGGTCAGGTCCTTCGCCAAGCTAAATCAATGTGTTTTGTTGATGTTCCCCGCCCCGGCGAATTCCAGCCAGGGCCCCCCCGAAGGTCCAGGGCCCCCGAAGCCATAGCAATCTCCCCCAGCAGATACCCAATGGAAACGCACGTCTTCCCCTCTTCTCATCACAGAAACCCGAGACATCCAGATGACACGCATGTGGTGTCAGCACCCGTGACATCGCAGACCTTGTGCTCTCCTTTGGCTTGATCGGGTTCTGGGGATCAGAGCTCCTGGGGGGGCTCCTGGGCGGGATGCTCGCTGGAGGGTGGGGCCCCCCCCCCCAAACCCACAACACCCGCATGAAAACACAGGTTCCCCGCCACAGGAACGTGCATGGCTTGGTGATCGAAAAAGGTTTGTCGGTTGGCCCGTTCAAGCCGGGGTCACCGTGGTGCCCGGGGAGGCTCTGACAGTGGTGGGGCGGGGCAGGGCGCATGCGGTACGACAGTGCCCTGGAGCTCCCAGCCCTGCCCCAGCGCCGCGCGCTCTTGTGAGTGAGCGCGGCGGTGCTGTGTCAGCGCGGCGCATGCTTCGTCCTCGCCGCGCCCGTCGGGAATCTAGGCGCTCCCGCCCCTCCGCGCGGCCCACGTAGCTCTCCCTTCGCCACGTCGTCGGAAGCGGGGCCGCGTGCCAGCGCCTTCCGTCGGCTGAGTGGGAGCGCGACCCAAGCCCAGTGTCCACGTGTGCATGAGGTGTGGGAGGGAGGGTGGGTTCGGGAGCGGCCAAAGGGGGGGGTGTCCAAGAGGGGGGGGGGGGGTGCAAAGCATGACCGGCGGCATGTACGCGGCCCAGCGGGGGGGCCAGGGACGTAATGAAACAAGAAGGGGCGCCATGAGATCCGGGGAAATATCATGGCCCACGCCATGATATCCCCCCCCCCCCAAGTCATCACCCCCCTCTTTGCCGCCCCCCGACGGGTGTAGGCGGGGCCTCTGACTCGCTCGACCTGGCTGCAGTCGGGGAATGGTTCTCTGAGCGTCTCGCGGCGGCGACCCCGGCGCCACGCTGTGCTCTGCGAGCGGATCAGGCGTCGCTCCACTCCGCGGGGCGGGGAGCGCGGACTGGCCCGGGACGTGGACGCCAGGGGACTGGGACGTGGATAGCTTGTCGCGTCGAGGCGTAGTGAGCAAGAACCGTCTGAACGGCACGCTATCCAACAAGTCCCGACCGCAACGCGAATCCTAACATCTCAAACAAATAACGCTTCCGCTTGGGTCAAGGCAACTGAGTTATTGAGCGGCCCAAAATTGCCGTAGCCGCGTCTCTCGAGATCCGCGAATCATAGCAAGCAACAGCATCTGGAATGCCGGCTGGGGGTCACAAGACCGAGGGGGGGAAAACCAATGCATCTCTCGCCAGGCCGAACATTGGCTTGACTCCTCCTCCATCCTCTCCAATCCATCTTCCCCCCTCCCTCGTCTCTCCTCCTCCTTCTCCGCCTCCTCCCCGTCCTCCTCCTCTCCTCCTCCTCCTCCTCCTCCTCCTCCTGCTGCTGCTCCTCTTCCTCCGTCTCGTGCCCTCTCCTCCTCCCTAGGCGTTCCTCCTCCTCCTCCTCCTCCTCCTCCTCCTCCTCCTCCCTCGCGATGCGGATGGGGCACGGACCGCTCCGACTCGCAGATCCTGATCCGACCGCGCGGGCCTTTGAAGAGCCGGGGCGGGTCAGGCGCTGAGCCGATCGCCCGAGAAGGACGTCGCCTGGCTGCCGTGGTCGACGACCTTCGTCGGGGAGGTTCTCAGGGATGAGGGGGGAGGAGGAGGTGAAGGAGATGCAGGAGGAGGAGGAGGAAGGAGGTGGATGATGATGATGATGATGATGATGATGATGATGAGGAGGAGGAGGAGGAGGAGGAGGAGGAGAGGAGGAGGAGGAGGAGGAGGGAGGAGGGGGAGGAGGAGGAGGAGGCAGAGGAGGAGGAGGAGGAGGAGGAGGAGGAGGAGGAGGAGGAGGAGGAGGAGGAGGAGGAGGAGGAGGAGAGGGCGGCGTCGAAGGCGAGGAGGGTAGGGAGGATTGCGAGGAGGTGAGGGGCGGGCGAATGGGGTCGTGAACGTCTGTGGGGGCGGCCTCGAGGAGGACGGGGGCGACGGCGGCGACATGAAGAGAGAGGGAGGGAGGAAGGGGACCCAGCTCTGTTGATGTTGCAAAATCTTGGGGCGTGTTGATCCATCTCCGTGTTTTACTTCCGGGGGGTCGGTCCACCGAGACCAAGCCGACAAAAAACGGTAGTCCCACACAGAGAACAAACGGCAATACCAAACGGAACCGAACCGAACACGGCGCGAACCAGAATCCCCAAACGGGCAGCACAAACCTCACCCCCAAACCGAAACAACGAAGATCTTGAGACCGAGGAAAAATAACTTTCCCTACGTTTTAACATCATCAAAGGGACATCACTCCATATTTTTTCAATCCGCGGCCTCAGAGGTCAAGGCCGTTTGCCTGGGGCAAGTTTTTCGCCGCGGATCCATGTTTGAGTGTCCCGGGGCCCGACAACGGCTTCCGATGGCAGGGCTTGATGGGGTGTGCCGAAATGGGCATGCGGAGGGTAGGGAACCGCATGCGAGCACTGTCATGGGGGTCCTCGGTGGAGCTCTCTGTGGGGCCACGAAGCGTGTGAGGGGGGGGGGCGAACTGGACATGCGGCGGGGGCGCATGCGAAGAACGCCCTTGGGGCCTTCGGTGGAGTTCCCTATGGGCCCGCGACGCGTGTGAGCGGGGTGCCGACATGGACATGCGGTGGGCGGCGGGGAGCCGCACGCGAGGGCCCTCGGTGGAGCTCCCCATGGGGCCACGAAGCGTGTGAGAGGTGTGCCGACATGGACATGCGGAGGGCGGGAAGCCGCATGCGAGCAGTGCCTCTGGGGCCCTCGGTGGAGCTCCCTTTAGGGCCACGGAGCGTGTGAGGGGGGGGGGCCGAAACAGAGACGTGCGGAGGGCAGAGGCAGTGGGAGGAGGGGGGAGGGGAGGGAGTGAGTTGACGCGGGGCGATGTCTCTTCAAAACGAGGACCCAAGCCCAGAACATGGTTGGGAATAACGGAGTTGGAGATCTGGGGAGCGAGAAGGGGGAAAGCGGGGGCTGGTAGGAATTTGAACACAATCTGCCCCCGAGTGAGGATGACGGGCGGCCAGGAGAGGGGGGGAGGAGAGAAAGAACTCCCGCCTCCCCAACACGCCGCGCCGCACGCCGTACAGGCAAGGGGTGGAGGCGGACGAGGGAGAACTGTATCAGGCTGGCTTCCCGGATCGCCAGGCGCTTCTGCCCCACATCCAACTTTTGTGGCAACTCGTGGGGCATCCCATGCCATCTTGCTGGCTCTTATGAATCGACGCAGATCAACACTAATCGGTGCTAGTCGATGCTGCAGCGGTGCTAATCGACGCTGCATCGGCGCTCCATCATCGCTTACCAGATGCTACCGCACGCGAATGCACTCTAAAGATGGAGCTGCGAGGACACGCAAGGGTCCCATGACTTGCTACCGAACTCCATGCTGTGTGCGTTCACCACCTTCCTGAAGAGCTCGATCCTTAATTTCATCGGCACGCTGCGCCGCGAGGCTCCTCACACCTCCCGGCACTTCATTCCAGCCGCTGCTGCTGCGCTGCCTGCTGAAGGCTGCTGCTGATGCAGTCCGCTGCCGTTGACGCTGGTCTTGCACGGATCGTGCCGCACAGGGATCTTCAGCCACGGCCCCAGTGAGGGTGCTCGTGTGCGGTCCCCCCACCCATGTCGTCAGCTCCACCTTCGGTCTCAGTGGGTGCGTTGTCAAGGAAGGGGAAACACATAAACATAAACGTTCGACGGTCCGCGGGGAGCTCCGACAGCTTATGTGTATGCAACGTTTCTTCGTCGACTTCCGACACGCTCCTTACACGAATCGTTCTTCATAGCCAGCTCCACCTGCGGCCCCACTGGGGGGGTCGCACGCGGCCCCGCCGCCCGTCGCGGCTGACCCCCTCACGCGGGTCGTGCCCATCCGCCCGCTGGGAGTTCGCCCCAGGCCCGCTTTCGATGGCCCCAGGAGGCCAGCAGCTGTAACGCCTCGGGGACTAGGAGGAGGAGGAGGAGGAGGAGGAGGAGGTTGAGGAGGAGGAAGAGGAGGAGGAGGAGGAGGAGGAGGAGGAGCACGAGCAAAGTGAGTATCAACTTTCGCAGGTCCGCACGGATTTCTTAGACTGGCGCTGGAACCCCCTGGCGGCGCCTCTGGCGCCCCCCCGGGCGCGCTCCGCGCGCCAGGGAGAAAGGTCCAACGGCGATCCCGAGAAACGCGCAGACCTGCGAACATTCATGCTGATGCCGGCTGTTCTTCTTCGATGCCCCCGCAACCAACCTTGTTGCCCATGACCTCCGCGTGCTTCGGCATGACGGGAACTCCGTGCTTGCCGTAGATTTCCATCCAAGGGTAGTCGTCAGAGTAGTGCGGGAACTCCTGTCGATGATTCTCAGAACGTGTATTAGGACCAACGTAGGCGGGCCCACCGAAGGCCTGCAATACGACGCAGGTGGTGTAACAGTAGCGGGCACAGGCCGAACAGGGTAAGCACACATTGGGCTAGTCATCTTCGGTGCCAGGGCCCCCAGATGCTCTCGAGCCCATCTTGGGACACACAACGACCTACTAATACTACGTGTCCTCCTTGGGTGCGTGCGTCCGACCTGAACACATCGTAGAAACATATTGTAGTAGATCTTTTCCGGAGCGGTATGGCCAGAGAGCGCCCGCCACGGAGCTTACACTACAAGATTTCTCGGCGCGCGCGTCGCCCCTTGGGGGGCGACGCACACACAGTCTTAAGTCGGGCGTGTCCCCTTACAGGGAGGTTTTCGACGAAAAATAAAACATACCCCACAAATAATCACAAATTATCCTGGCGAAAGACCCAACCATATGCAATTGTGAATAACGCTTTGTGGGTGCCGCTTTCGGTGGGGCCCCTTATGGGGCCACGAAAGGCGTGCCACGAAACGCTGCCCTGGGCGTACGGACGCATGAGGACGGTAGCACTGGGGCCTTCGGTGGAGCTCCCTATGGGGCCACGGAACGTGTGAGGGGTGTGCCGAAATGGGTGCGGCGCCGCCATGCGAACGCAGCCACTGGGGCCTTCGGTGGAGCTCCCTATGGGGCCGCGAAACGTGTAAGGGGTGTGCCGAAATGGGTGCGGCGCCGCCATGCGAACGCAGCCAATGGGGCCTTTGGTGGAGCTCCCTATGGGGCCACGGAACGTGTGAGGGGTGTGCCGAAATGGGGGGGGAACCGCATGCGGACGCAGCCACTGGGGCCTTCGGTGGAGCTCCCTATGGGGCCACGAAACGTGTGAGGGGTGTGCCGAATGGGGGGTGGAACCGCATGCGAACGCAGCCACTGGGGCCTTCGGTGGAGCTCCCTATGGGGCCACGAAACGTGTGAGGGGTGTGCCGAAATGGGGGGTGGAACCGCATGCGGACGCAGCCACTGGGGCCTTCGGTGGAGCTCCCTATGGGGCCACGAAGCGTGTGAGGGGTGTGCCGAAATGGGGGGTGAACCGCATGGGGCCTTCGGTGGAGCTCCCTATGGGGCCACGAAACGTGTGAGGGGTGTGCCGAAATGGGGGGTGGAGCGCTGCCACGCATGCGGGGGGGCCTTCGGTGGAGCTCCCTATGGGGCCACGAAACGTGTGAGGGGTGTGGGGGGTGGACCGCTGGGGGGTGGAGCTCCCTATGGGGCCACGAAACGTGTGAGGGGTGTGCCGAAATGGGGGGTGGAACCGCATGCGGACGCAGCCACTGGGGCCTTCGGTGGAGCTCCCTATGGGGCCACGAAACGTGTGAGGGGTGTGCCGAAATGGGGGGTGGAACCGCATGCGGACGCAGCCACTGGGGCCTTCGGTGGAGCTCCCTATGGGGCCACGAAACGTGTGAGGGGTGTGCCAGAATGGGTGTGGGAGGGGGAGGAGGGGGGAGGAGGAGGGAGGAAGGAGGCGGGAACGCGGGGCACCGTCTCTTCAAAACGAGGACCCATCACCACATGATGGTTGGGAAATAATCCAAACATAGTCTGGGGAATATGTTTTGAATGTTTTTTTTGTTTTTGTTTTTACCTTTTTGGAATATTTTTGAGTATTCTATATCTGTCGTCGAAAACCCCCCTGTAGGGGGACACGCCCGACATAAACATAGTATCAGTACGCTGGGGGAACGCCGACATCTTGCTTCTGGATTTCGCGCCGTGGGCGGAGCTCTGTGGGCCCCACAGCCCGAAGGGGCCCGCCAGAAGGTGGTCGGCCCTGAAACGCCAACATCACCGCCGGCGACGTCGCCGCGCCTTCCTGGATGAGACAAGCGCCTGGCGGGGATCGCCTTGCTCCTCCTCTTCGTCTCCTGCCTTCCTTCCAACTTGATGTTTATGTGGGGGCATCAGCCTCGTAAGCACGTGGCAACTTCCAGGCACCCTGCGCAACAACATCTCGCCATCTGTTGGAAGGCAAGCTCTTCCTTCCGCCGGCTTGCGCCGCCGGAGGAGGAGGAGGAGGAGGAGGAGGAGGAGGAGGAGGAGGAGAAGGAGGAGGAGGAGGAGGAGGAGGAGAAGGAGGAGGAGGAGGAGGGAGGAGGGAGGAGGGAGGAGGGAGGGAAGGAGGAGGGAGGGAAGGAGGAGGGAGGGAGGGAGCTTCCGCCGGCTTCCCCCGGCGGGCGGCCCCCCGCTCCGCTTCCGCCGCCTCTTCCCCTGGCCCCCCGCCGCCCCTCGCCGCGGAAGGGGTGACGGCTCCTGCGGCCCTCGAGGGCGAGGCCCCTTCTGCAGGCGAGCCCGGAATCGAACCGACAAGTCGGATCGGCGGAGGTCGGCAGGCCAGCAGGCAGACAGGCGGGCCTCCAATGAGACGTCGGAGCCCAGATCGGAGTCCCGAGTCGAACCGCCTCGGAGTCGGAATCCGTCGACATCGAATCGAATCGAATCGAAGCGGAGGCGTCGAAGCGAGCCCTGCTTCTGGAGCGGGCCCCTTGGGGGACACGAGCCTCGCACGAGATCGGGGGCGCCCGAGGCGGGGGGCCGAGGATCACGGCCGCAGGCATGCATGCGCGGCCACTTTCGACGCTCCGCGCGGATTGCTCTGATCTGCGCCTGAGCCCGCCCTGGCGCCCTGCGCGCGCCAGGGGAGGGGGGTCCAGCGCAGGTCCAAGAGCTCCGCGCGGGGCTCCAACAGCGCGTGCTGATGCGATCCTTGATTCCTTCAGTCCGAGGCAGAGCAGGGTCCAGCGCAGGGGGGGCAACTGAAGGGGCCCTGGGACACACAAATACATACACACAAATGACAAGATTCCCCATATGATCCCATATTTTCTGGATGTTTGTCTTCCCCCCACTTCCCATATTTTCCCATATTTTCCTGGGAGTCGACGATTAATTGTGTCTGTGTGTTTCTTTCCCTCCTGAGCAGCGTCAGGCCTAAATCGGCGATGCATCGCCGACAGGTCCGCGATGGGGCCCCCACGGCAGACCCGAGGTCTCCCAGGCGGGGTGGGCCGTCTGGCTCCCTTCGGCGCTGCAGATGGGCGACTGGGGGCCGACGCATCCCCCCCCCTGAGCTTCTGTTGCTCCCATCGTACGTAAGGACCACATCTCAGAAATAATTTCGAGCACCCACGATCCCCAGGGGGGAGGCTAGTTTTCGCCACCCCTCACGAGGATCGTGGCCTCCGAGGGGGAGGCTGCAATCGACTACCCCCCCTCCCGCCCCAAGGGGCCCCCAAGAGCCCCCTAGAGGCCCCATGGGGAGCCCAGGACGCCGCCAAGGAGCCCCGAGACGCTCCCAAGAAGCCCCCAAGAGGCCTCCAAGACGGCCCCAAGAGGCCCCAAATAGCGCTCCAGGGCCGGCGGAATGAGCGAAGCGATTAAATAATTTCGAGCACCCAGAAAAGTGTCGAAAGAGTGTCGAAAGAGTGTCGGGCGAGTGTCTCCCAGGGCCCGACACGTGAAAACCCTAGAGTTTCGGTACTTCTCTTCTGGTGCCCGAAATTCTTCCTGGTGATCAAGGCTAAAGTAGGTTGGATAATCATAACCCTAAGCCCATCCCCGTCATCGATGCTGTCTGTGCCATTACAACGGGGCCCAGGGACGCACACGTCAAGAGACATAACTCCCATGGTTCCCCGTATTTTCTCCAGTGTGTTCTAGATTTTCGTCTCCCCCCCCACTACCCAGATTTGCTTGACGCTTAATTTTAGGTCGGGCCTGCCCCCCTACAGGGGATGTTTGAGCGAAAAATTCAACATTTCAAACAATATTCAAAACTGATCAAAACTAGTTTTACAAAAAAACAGACTATTTTGACTATTTCTGAATATTCCCCCTGTCGAGGGACATGCCCGACTCAAAGATGACTGGTGTCTGTGTATGCTTCCCCCCTCCTAGCAAAACTCGGGACGACCTGTGCACTCCAGGGACGCTTCTTCGGCGAGGCGCAGCTGCCGGAAAACCGCCGAGGGCCCGACGAGAGCGCCCGGAAGGAAGACCTCGAGCCTCGAGCCTCGAGCCTCAAGCCTTCCTTCGGGCCTGTCCTCCCACAGGGGGACTTTGGGCGAGCCATTCTAACAACATATCCAGAACATGCCCCCACATGGCCAAACAAGTGCTGAAACAATAGCGTCCCCAGTCTATTTTTTCTCACTAATCTTGAATATTCCTCCTGTAGAGGGACAGGCGCGACTTAAGCCAAGCCCTGGGGTCGATGCATCTCTCCCTGAGCCCATTCCCCCCCAAGCGTTGCCCCTGACGAGACCACGGCGCCCCCCTGCTTGGCACGCCCGACTTGGGTACGGAAGTGCGATGCCAAATGGCGCACGCTGTCCCAAACGGACGCCGGCCGCTGTTAGACCGGCGACCTTCTGCCTTCAATGGACAACGTCCGTGGCGACACCGACAGCGAGTCCTGTTCAAAGTGGGCAGACATTGCTGTTGGTCTTCGTCCCCGTTCCCAGACCCCCGACGTCATGTTTTTCATAGCCGCGACCCCAAAGGTCTCGACCTGTTCCCCGGCACCGGCTCTCCATCCTGAATCGTTTCTTGACGGTCCCGACGCCCAGGGCTGGCCCCCAGAGGCTGAACACAATGAAACATTCCCCTCGTAACTTTTTCATGACCCGAAGGGGCCTGGGTTCGTTCGGGTCGTGCGAAAGGGGGGGTAGCAAAGGGGGGGTTTGAGAATCAGCTCACGTAGCTGATTTTCCTGGCGCCTCCCGGCGCCAGAGGCGGCCATGTATCAAGGAATGGGCCCCTCGGTGAGGCCGAAACCAGCTGCATGCAGCAAATTTCGCAACCCCCCCTTTCCCAATCCCCCCCTTTCGGCCGACCCGAAAGGTTGGGCGCCCGAGTTATCCGTGGTAACTCGGGTTTGGATTCCCGAAAAAAGGAACCCGAGTTTGCCCTGACCCGAGTTACCCCTGATGATGTGGGGCTCTGGACGCCTGAGCTATCCGGGGTAACTCGGGTCCGGTGTAACTCGGGTTCGGACTCCCGAAAAACGAACCCGAATTAACCCTGACCCGACTTACCCCTGATGATTCGGGGCTCTGGCACCCCCGGAACGCCCGCGGCGAGGCGCAGCCGCTGGAGGGCACCCCGAGGCTGGAAAGCCGCCGAGAACCCACGAGAACGCCCGAAAACCTCGAACCTCGAACGTCTCGAGGCTCCCGAGAGCCTGCTGCTGCTTACCCGACTTACCCCTGATGGCCTGGGTTCTTCCCGTACCCATTTGGAGCGTTCCGACCTGCCGCTCCTCGTCGCCCGCCAGCTCCGGCGCCGGCGCCGGCGCAGGGGCTGGCCTCGCCCTGCGGAAGCCTGCCAGCAAGTGTGCCACAGCCCCGCCTGCTCCTTCAGGCCCT